TGCAACCACTTTGTTTAGTGACCATTCAAAGTTACAACGGCACTGGAAAAAGCGACTTTATGCCTGGTTCTCACACTTGTGACGGTTGCAGCAGCCCCGTGGTCACGTGCTCAAAATTCGGACACATGTCAACTGCCATGTGTTTATGACCGTTGCACAGCCCCAGGGGCTCATGTCATCCCTATTTGCGACCTTCCCACGGCCGTTTTCCAACAAGCAAAGACGGTGGGCGGAGCCAGATTCTCTTAACAACCACATGTTCCACTTAACAACTTCACGAGTCACTTAACGGCCTCATGAAAAGTTGTAAACCGGGGCAAAACTGCCGTTGTTTTAACAACGATCACCGCCATTGTTAAGCGAATCATTCGGGCCAGTAAGCAAAGCTCACTTAACAACGGTCCTGCTTAGCAACTGAAATTCGGGGCTCAATTGCGTCCGCGTCAACGGAGGACTACCTGTAATAGAGTTAAAAGTATATAAGTCACGTAATGTTAAAAAGTTTACAATCTTGGGAGGGGGCACATGTCCAGAACCGTGTGCGGCCTTGCGGGGTGAATAAGCCTGAGCTAGGCCCAAACCAATCCTTTTTTAAATTTAGTTCATAGTTTCTTAAAAGCAGGGGCCTACAACCTTGGCAGCCTGAAGGACTTCAACTCCCAGAATTCCCCAGCCAGCTGGCTGGGGAATTCTGGGAGTTGAAGTCCGCCAAGCTTAAAGTTGCCAAAGTTGGAGACCCGCTCCTAAAGCATAGTTATAAAGGGAAAGTCTTTGGTGCGTTTGGCAAAGACAAGATAGAAAACTCCTCTTTTGCCACTGGTGACGAGCATCACATGTTGCAAAGGCACCCCTCAACCAAGCCCCAAAAACACATGGGATCCCCATCTTATTTTAGGTTGAGAAGATGCAGCAACACAACAGACAAAAGAGTTTTTACAACAAAGATGCCTCAATGATCCCACGCTAACCATTAAGACTGCAGGCGTGTCCATCCTTTCGGCTGGCCTAGGCTGCCTCGAGGGAAGAGGAATTCTCGGGCAGCCTATAAAATATTTAATATAGTTAATATATAAAAGGTTAAAAAAGAAAATCTCCCTCTCGGTCGTATCCAACTCTAGGGGGCCGTGCGTTCCTTGGCTGAGGGAGCCTGTGGTTTTTTGAAGACGATATCCGTGGTCGTGTGGCCAGCATGGCTAAACGCCGAAGGCGCACAGGAAGGGGTGAAGAGGGACAGAGAACATATATGGCTAACGCTCTTTTTGATCCACGGGGGGATTAAAAAGTGTATTGTGCTTAAGATTGCTAATTGCAAAGTTTGTGAGTGTGAGGACGAGGAAAAGAGCAGGGTGGTGGCTTCCATATAAGACTACCCTTATTCTCCCCTACAAAGCCCCCCTTCCAAAATGCTTTTCCCCCCAAACTACACCGTATTTGGGGAGGAGGGGTTAATCTTTAATTAAAAAGGTCCTGAGGCTTATAGTGTATGAGGCCGGGGAGGGGGAGAGAAAAGAGAACCCTTAAAAACGAACCTGGCATATTAATTTTTAGAAATCCCCCCACCCCTGCAAAGAGGTTTTACATATATATATAATATATATATTTTAGATTTATATATGCATATAGACAAGTAAAAACTTCCCCGCTCCTACATTTTTTTTTTCTGGCTTCCAAAGAAGGAGCAGAGCATGTACAGAGTTCCAGGCCAAGGAAGGAAGGAAGGAAAGAAGAAAGGAAGGAAGGACACAAGGAAGGAAGGAAAGGAGAAAAATAATCTCTGAGTTAAGGCAGCAAATTCAGCCCACCCACCCCGTCATCGGTCCATCTGTCCGGAGGGAGGGAGAGCTGCATGTCCTGTCTAGCAGTCTCGATTCTCCAGGGTCAGTTCGGCTGTGGCCTGCTGCAGCTCCGTGCTGATCCGCCGGCCTCCCACCGCGTCCCCGTGACCACCGGCGTCCTCCTCGCCCTTCACTTTCTTGTCGTCTGTTTCGTCGCCCGTCCCGCCGGCTTCCAGCCGCTGATCCTCGCTCCAGCGGCGTTTGAAGCGCAATTTGAGGGGAATGCATTTGCCGCTCTCCCCGGCCCGAGAAACGGGGGGCGCTAAAGCGGAAGTCTCCCCGTTTTCTATCTTCTCCATGGGGGCCGAGGGGGCCTTAAAGACCTCCTCGTCATCCTCGCTGATATCCGTGACCTCCACGGTGAGATCTTCCTCGGACTCTCCCTCCGAGATGGGTTCCACTTTGATCTGGGGGATGAGGGTCTCCGGAGCAGCTGCAGAAGAGGAGGAGGAGGAAGAGGAGGAGGCGAGAAGGCCACCACTGGAGTCTCCCGGGGGCACGGCTGACGCAGGTTGCTTGTCGCGGTTGCGGCGTCCCAACGGTGGCGGCTGCAGCTTGAATTTGAAAGGACTGGGGGGCTCCTCCGCTTGCAAAGGCGGAGGGGGAAGAGGGGGCTTCTCCAGGCGCTGGGGCTGCGGGATGATAATGTTGGGGTAGTGGAGGAAGGCCCTGGGACTGAGATGGTAGTTGTACACACTCTGGGTGTGCGCTTGGAGGTAGCGCTTCATGTCCTCAGGGTTGAAGGAGAAGTGGGAGCCGCTGGGGTACATGGGGCTGAGGGTGGGTGAGGGAGTGTAATTTATGTGAGTGGGAGTGAGTGGGAGGGCAGGGGACAGCTGGGGGGGCAGGAGAGCAGCAGGCCCAGTCATGGGGGACACGGGGAAGGGGCTGAGAGGCTCAGGAACCCGCGGGCGGGGATAGATCCTAAAGAGGGCGTCGTGGGTCAAACGTGGATGGCTGGGCAAGGGGGGCCCGCGGAATCCACCCGCCTCTCCTCCACGTCGCTGCTCTTCGGCCAACGTCTCCTCCACTTCTGAATTGGCCGAGGTGCCGTCGCTGCAGTCGCTGACCGAGCCCCGAGCGAGGCGGCGAGCCACGGCGGAGAAGACCCCGGGCGAACGCAGATCCTCGGCCGGTGACAAGACATCGGATGGAGTGGAAGGGGGGAAGCGGAAGTGTGACCCACCCGAGGGCACAGGGGGAGCACTTTGGGGCACGGCCCCACCTACGAGGAAGAGGAAAGCAGACCAAGGATATCAGCATTACAACAACCAAGGAGGAAAAAAGGCCTAAAGGGAGAATTCACCTCCCTCTCCATCCAGCCAGTCCTTCCCCAAAGCCCAGTTGAACCGATTCAGCTCAAGGAAGCCTTCAGAAGACCAGTGATCCGTTCGACATCTAACCCAGGGGTGTCCAAACTTGGGAACTTTTAAGACTTATGGACTTCAACTCCCAGAATTCCTCAGCCAGCATGCACCCGAAGCTCAGGTCCCCATGTGAAAGCCTCCATTAAACTGATTTATTGCTAATCATGTAGACACATGTTATCTTCTTCACTGCCGGTATAAGAGTTAACAGCACTCAAAAGGAGTTGACGTTAGTCTGCTTGTGGTTATGTAGGAATTCTAGGCTGATCCCCCTTTCCCTTCCATCTCCAGGTATGGCCATCCCTTCTCCTAACACCCCCAGATATGGCAGCCTCTCATCCATGTCACCTTAGATCAGGGATGTCCAAGCTTGGCAACTTTTAAGACCTTTGGACCTCAACTCTACAGTTGAAGGTTTTAAAATTGCCAATTGTCAGATCTTTTGAACTGACCACATCCTGGACAATGTATTCTTCCTGGACAAATACATACTTTTCCCAAATGGGTCACTTTGCTCTTGGGCCAATCACCCCTCCAAAAAAGAAGCCAAAATTTAATCTGAAATGGCCCTCCTTCCACCTCCACATTAAAAAAAATAACAACCCTTCACCTGTACTGTATTTCCAGTACATCTAGAGAGACACTCCCATTCCAAAGTTAAATTATTTGATGGGGAAATTATCTTCCTTATGGGTCAATATACTTTTCCATAAGTAAAACAAGACCTTTGAACCTCTTTTCTTTTTTCTTTTCCTTTGGGGCACACCCAATAGAGCTACCAAGGAGTAGGTGCATGTGTTTGCATTAGGGGGTGTTGAATTGAGCCTAGAATTCCTACATCAGCCTAGAATTCCTACAAGGAGTAGGTGCATGTGTTTGCATTAGTGGGTGTTGAATTGAATTGAATTTATTGCATTTATATGGGTGTTGCCTGTTTTACCAAAGGAACTCAATGCTTTAAACGTCAGTTTCTTTGGCTCTCTCGCCGTGGATTAAAAAAGATTTGCGGAAGAGCAGGGAGAAGGTTGCCCCAGAGACTCTGAAAGCCCTCCCACCATGCTTACCCGCCATGCCCATGTCGATGAAAGGGTAGTTGACCAACACCAATTTGTTAAAGTTGAACTTGTAGGTGAAACGTTTGCCTTTGGTCTTGTGCAGGATCCGCTTGTTGTAGTAATACCTGCAGGATTGGGAGGAGGAGTAAATGAAGGGAAGGAAGAGAGAAGGGTGGAGAAGAAGGAAGGAAGAACAGAGAAAGGAGAAGGGAAAAGAGGAGGAGGAGGAGAAGGAGGGAGGAAGGAAAGGAAAAAGAGAAGGAAGGGGAAAAGGAGAGGGGAGGAAAAAAAGAGGAGAGAAAAGAGGAGGGGAAAGTAAAAGAAGAGGAAGAGAAAGTGGAGGAGGAAGGAAGGAAAAGAGAAGGATGGGAGGAAAAGAGGAAGAAGGAACAAAGGAAAAGAAGAGGGGAAGAAAAGAAGGAGGAGGAGGGAAAAGGAGGATGGGGAGGAAAATAGGAAGAAGGGACAAAGTAAAAGAAGAGGGGAGGAAAATAAGAAGAAAAGGAGGAGGGAAAAGAGGAGGAGGAAAATAGGAAGAGGAGGAAGGAACGAAGGAAAAGGGGCGGGGGGAGAGAGAAAAAGTGGGGAGGAGGAAGAAAGGAAAAGAGGAGGGAAAGGAAGAGGAGGGGGAAGGGAAAACAGAAGGAAAGAGGGAGGAGGAAAAGCAGAGAGGAGGAGGAGGAGGAGGAAGAGAGGGTCAGTGACTCACAAGTCCCACTTCTCCCCCACCATAAAAACCCAACTCTGGAGTCTGTGGGAGTCTGCATGGCCCCGATAGGAAAAGTGTTACAGCCACAGCAAGTGTGAAGCAGCATCTGTTCAAAGGGGGAGAAGCAACACGCTCGGAGTCCCTGTGACTGCAAAGGGATTTGATCACAGCCTTGTAAATAGCCACTAGCCCACCAACGTTGCCTAGGATCAACCGCTCCTTACGTAAGGATGGGAAACCAGCCGAGCCAAATTACGGTATTAGCCTGGGGCCAAGTGTGCATTTTCTAGCCCTCCAGTTATGGGGATTTAACGGCGTCCTCGTAAGCAGACGTGTTGTTTGCGTCATGTAGCTTCCAATCCCCAGTCAATCCGCAGTGGTTAAATGCAGCACTGCAGGCTACTTCAGCTGACTGCAGTTCTGCAGGTCGGCTGTTCAAATCTCACCGGCTCAAGGTTGACTCAGCCTTCCATCCTTCCGAGGTGGGTAAAATGAGGACCCGGATTGTTGTTGGGGGCANTATATATATATATATGCATATTATATACATATACATATATATAAAACAACCCTCAAGCACATTACTGCCTTATATTGACCTCACAAGGAGATTATAATTTCAGATCCTGCCTTTGGGTTCATGGCAGCATCCCACAAAGTCAGATTTTTTTTTCCCTGGGGCAAGTTGGGGGGCGTTGTGTACATGCAAATCTGTCTCTTTGGGCAACTGAATAATCTCTGATCCTAACAGAGCGGAGGAGAGCAAGGCAAATACGACCCATGAGGATCTGGAGAGCAGCCGAGAGGAGACACGGCTTTCTGCATTGCAAGATTCCCAAATTATTATTATTATTTTTTCCCCGTTTTCTCTAAGGCACCGTCTCATCCTGCATCCCCGTCCTCTTTTGTCGGGACATACACACGCACACCCCGGAAATATTCCCTTGCAAAAAAGCAAAAACGGTGGACTTGTTTTAACGAGAGGGAGGAAAAGAGGGCCTTGGATTTTGAAGTTGCTGGGACACAAGGAGAAGGAAGAGCCGGCGTTTCAGGGAGAACCACCGTGTTGTGCAGACGAGACTAAAAAGGAATGTCCGCTCCCTGTTTAGGTTCCCTTGGAAACAGCATTTCAACAGGCACTTAAAAAAACAAAAACCTCTTCAAATATCCCACCCACCCACCCCTTAATTCCCAAAACCTAATGAGGCTAAATGGCCGCGGGGCTTTGCCTGGGCTGCACTGAGTGAAGAGGATTGTTTAAAAAAAAATTATTTATTTGTATCCTGCCTTTATTATTTTTACAAATAAGGCAGCAAAGAACATATGCAAGCACACCTTTCCTCCTCCTGCTTCCTCACAACAACCCTGTGAGGGTCACCCCAACTGCTCCTTCAGGGCCAAGGCGGGACTTGAACTCGCGCCCTCCTGTTTTCCAAGACTGTTGCCTTAACCACTAGACCAAACTGGCTCTGGAATTATCCTGGGATATGTATATAACCTACATATAGGTAGTCCTTGACTTGCAACCACTTTGTTTAGTGACCATTCAAAGTTACAACGGCACTGGAAAAAGCGACTTTATGCCTGGTTCTCACACTTGTGACGGTTGCAGCAGCCCCGTGGTCACGTGCTCGAAATTCGGACACATGTCAACTGCCATGTGTTTATGACCGTTGCACAGCCCCAGGGGCTCA